AAAAAGACATACAAGTGGCCAAAAAAGTAAATTAGTTCAGCCACTGTGAAAAGCAGTTTGGAGATTTCTCAAAGAACTTAAAACAGAAATACCATTTGACCTAGCAATCCCAGTACTGGGTATATATCCAAAAGAAAATAAATTGTCCTGCCAAAAAGACACACATACTCATGTGCAGCACTATTCACAATAATAAAGATATGGAATCAACCTAGGTGTCTATCAACAGTAAACTGGGTAAAGAAAATGTAGTACATATACACCATGGAATACTACACACCCATAAAAAGAACAAAATTATGTCTTTTGCAGCAACGTGGATACAGCTGCAGGGCATTATCCTAAGTAAATTAATTCAGGAACATAAAACCAAATACCATACATTCTCACTTATAAGTGGGAGCTAAACACTGAGTACTCAGACATAAAGATGGCAACAATAGACACTGGGGACTACTAGACGGGGAAGGGAGGGAGGGGAGCAAGAGTTAAAAAACCATTGGGTACTATGTTCTGAACCTGGGTCATAGAAACACGTGTATCTCAAAGCTCAGCATCATGCAATATACTCATGTAACAAAACCTGCACATGTACCTTCTGAATCTAAAATAAAAGTTGCAATTTAAAACAAAATACAGTATTTGCAGAATTTGAGACCTGCCTACACAGAGGGCTAACTCTTCGTATAAGCCGGTTCCACAGGGCCAGCTGCAGGACTTGAGTATGCACAATTTTACCAATCCCCACGTGTACAAAGGGATGACTGTAATTTCACACTTTGCCTCTATTTCAGCGTCGACATTTGAACCATTGATTAGGAGTTGTACTCAGTGTCAGACGTGTTATATATCCAAGTAGCTTTCACAATCCAACAATAAAATGCATGACTTGAAGAAGCCACTGAGCATTAGCTACAACGTTTCTGAGCACAGCTTCAAATTTTCGCCCATAAAATTGGTGAAATTTTACCCAATTTTACCGGCACCGCTAATAAATACCCATCTCACAGGTTTGGTGGGACAGTCTGGTGAGCTCAGGGGAGTGCTTAGCACGGTGGCTGGTAGAGAGTGAGACTAAATTAATAAAAGTGAAAGAAAAACTAAGCAAGAGTTTCTATTAGGGAAAATATCAGGCATGAGGATCAAGTTAAGAATTTCACACATCCACGGGGAGCTTTTTTGCTCAGTCAGATCACCCAAGGACTCCCTGCCAATGCCCTATCCGTATCGCCCTATGACTCTGCTACTCCTTTTCTTATGAGGGCTGATGTCTGTTCTCTGCGCTTGCAGACTTTTGGGTTTGGGAGGTACGTCCATGATGATAGAGTTAAGCCCCCAAAGCTTTGGGCTTGCTGTGTCCCCCAGGTGTCTGTTTAGAGAAGCACTTCCTCTTAGGGGGAACCTGGGGCTTCCAAGGCTGCCGAGCCATTCCCCTCTGTTCATTTTCCACTACTGCAAAATACACACGCTCCCCCTGCTTAGAAAAAGTAGTGGCATTTTTGCCAGTCCTCATCTTCTGCCATATTCAGCTCTATTGGTTATTTCTTTTTTCTTTTAAAGAAAGACAGTCTGTGTTTCCTTCTTTCGGGAATACTCAGTATTGCTAATAGGACGTGAGTTCCTTAGCATTCCAGGGAGAGAAAAGGGCAGAGTCAGTTGCTTGTTTCTTGTCTTAGTTTCTTGAAAAATAGATGAGCCATCTTTCTCTTCTGTCACTTAGTGGGAAAGGACTCTCATAAATACATTTTTTTCCTAGAGATAGTGAGAAGTGACAGACAACTCACATCTTTATTTGCCTGAAAACATGCAAATGCAAACATGTGACCCACTAGATGATAGGGGCTACAGGATTTTGCTCTTTTCCTAAGCCCAGTATGAAGCCAAAACACCATTTCAGCCTGTCAAAATCAAAAGGCAAAATTCTTTGGCTGTAAGAGGCAGAGGGAGTCCAGCCACACTCACTTGCTTAGCATCGACATGTAATACACAAAGGAAGACAGAAGAGAGATGAGTCATACAAATATGTAGTAAATAAATATATTTCATTTTCATCTCAGTAGCTTTTGCTTTGTTTTTTTTCTCTTTTCTATGCCAGCAGTCTTGAAATGGAGGTGGGGGTGGGGTGGGGTATGTGAGAAAATAGCAGGTTTTGGCTGGATAGTTTCAATAAGGTCTTGACAGTTCTGGCCTTGCTGCTTGGCTCTAGCTTTTTAAGAAAAGATCTTGTAGATTCTTAGATTAGAAGGCTTTCTAATTCGACCCCTCTCATTGTACAGATGAGCAGTCTGAGATGCAGAGAGGGGACTGACAACAAAGTCGTAGACCCAGAGGAGTGACTGTGTGTAGGGGTTCTCTGGTTCAACAGCCCCAAGCGATGCTGGAATGACCTAGGCAGGTCAAGCTGACAAGAGGGCAGGAAAGTGAGTCTGGAACAGAGACGTGCCCTCCCAGGTCACAACACCTCTGCTGTGCCCACGGCTAAAGGGACTACACTGAAGAGAAACAGACTGTGCCTTCTCGTGTTTCGGACTGCATTCTCAGTAGCTGAGGCCCAACCTGGCAACAAAATATCTGGTCCTGGCTTTGCAAGCAGTTGTTGCCTCTGGCATGTTGGAGCTCTTGGCCAAAGGACTGTTCCTGTCCTCTTGTTCTCAAGGATAGCTAACGAGCCTGCAGGAACGCAGGAACCAGCCCTGGGCCCACCGGGCTGCAGGCACACGGGAGCTTTCACCATCTCCAGATCCAAAGGTGGCCTGGGGATGATTTGTTTATCAAACTGTGTATTCCCAGCCCACTGCCAGCCCACACCCACCTACCCACCCGCCTGCCCACAGGCCAGCCTCCCTGCTCTTGCCACCTCTGAGGCAGGCAGGGACCTCCATGGTTTTCCAGATATGTACAGGGAGGTCTCCTCAGAGCCCCCACAGTCAGACAATGGCCACACACTGCTTCCTAGGCCTTCCCAGGCAGTGCTAGAAGGAGACAAGCAGCCTTCCCAGCAGAGGCAACCGGCGCCGCTGATAAGATATTGGCAAAATGATCACGAAAGCCAGAGTCATAAAGCTTTCCCTCTGCCAAGAAGCACAGAAAGCACCAGAAAGGAGCCTGACGGTCATGTGTCCAGAGATGTCAGGCTTCCTTCCTCCTTCCAGGCGGCCCGAGCGCAGGATCCCGCACCTCCCGCCCCCACCCCTGTTCCCATGGCAAAGGAGAGGAGGATCCACTTACTGCTAGTGTTCATGGTGATGTCTCTGCACTGGGTCTTTCATTCAATACGGAGGCCCCGGCTGCTTTTTAAATCTTCCGTCCTTCGAACCTCACTCATCACCTGGGGGGTGAAAAGGCAGTCCAGTGCCAGCTCTGTATCCTCAGGTGCTCTCTCTCCCACTGCGGTCCCTTCTCTCTCTGGGCTGTAGCCACTGGCCTTGAAGGCGCGTGGACTAATACGCGCAGGTGAGAGCAAGGAGGAGGAGGGGGCAGGACACCGGCGCCCCGTCCTCCTGCTCCTCAGATCTGAATCCCGGGCAGAAGTGGGGTTGGCAGCGCCTGCTCGCGCGCACCCCGCACTATTCCTGCCCAGCGGCTCCGGAGCCCAAAGGGGGTGTGGACCACAGGGAGGCAGGGCGGGGGCAGCGCGTCCCCGCCCGGCCTCAGGGAGCAGCGACCCGCCCCGGAACCCACCTCTCGGCCAGTGTCGGGAGCCAGAGGCCCCTGCCCCGGCCCCTGCGGCCGATTCATGAATCCTGGTCCTCGTCTGGGGTCTCGAATTCCAGGGCGAGCAATGCGAAATAGGAGAGCTCGACATCCATGATGCGGGCTCGCGGGTTGGCAGCGCGGGGGGCGCGGCCGCTCGCTGCTGCCACCTGCTGGACGCACCGGCGCGTGTCCGAGGCCCCGCCCCGCCGGGCTTCTGCCTGGGCCCTGGGGTGCGATGGGGGATGGACGGGACCCTGTGTCCTGGGACCAACGAGGGGGTGCTTGAGCGCTTGTTTTCCCTCCCTTGATCCTGAGGTCTAAGGGCTCGACAATGGCAGGGAAAGAAACATCATTGCGGGGGCCGTGAAGGAAAGCCTGGCTTTGCAGGAAGACAGTTTCCATCTGGCCCTGCTGCTGCCAAGCTTGGTGCAGTCTAGGCTTGAGGCGGTCACTACCGTCGCTGCCTCGTCTTCCGCAACTGTGAATGTGGCGTCCGGACAAGTGGTTGAGACAATAAGGGGCTCCTCCAGCCTCCCAGCCTATGTCCCCTGTTCCCTCACTGATTCCCTTTATCCCCTATCACCGACTCATCATTAGAATTGTTTATCACCTCTCTTCTCCACGAGAATGTTAGCTCCATGAATGAATGGGTCTGTCAGTAGGGTTCACCTACAGGGCCAGGCATGTAGTAGCTACCAATAAATATTTGTCGACAGAGCAACCCAGACATTTTCTGGGTTTAATATTACACAGCCCTAAGAGTAGACTGCCTAGGCACCCCGCCCTGAAACACTTCCCAATCTGAGGAGAACAGCAGGTATGTTGTCTCACAGGTCCACGCCAGTTTTCGTATGGTCAATCAACTATTTCCCCAAGTTTTTTTTTTTTTTTTTTTTTTTTTTGTAATTATATCTTATAGGTGTGTATTTTAGAAGTTTATATTCCAAAGTTTTTAGGTCATAATTGATTCAGTGGGGTAGGGCTCTTGACATTCCTGTGACTGCTTACTCTGTCACTTTTTGAACCTAATTCATGATCATAGAAGCATGACTTTTGAGTGCTGAAAAACAAGACTGAGAGGACACATGATCCTTGTCTATAGTGTGACTCCAATTAGAGCATGTGCAGACTCAAAAGGCTGTGAACACTCACAGCCCCAGCTTAGACAAGGAAACAGTGGGTCAGAGAGGCTGGGCAACCTGCCCTAGGACACACAGCATCTTGTGGCAGAACTGGACCACATCTTCTCACTTCTAGCTTAATCCTATGTGAGAGTGGCTAGGGTCTGGGATGTTAGTGTAAGATGGGGTAGCTGCCCTATTAAAATTGGGGAAAGAATACCATTTAGGTAAGCACAATGTTTCTACCTTACACAGGCAGGAAGAAATTGATAAATTTGATATGGCTCATGACCCCAAGAGGTGATTACCATTAAAGAATCTTTAGGTAAACCGAAGGATCAATGGATTTGAAACAGATTTGATAGCCTGTTAGGAATTTTGTCCAATGGGGTGGAGGTAAAAATAGTCCTAACATCCTCACAGACATTCTCAAAATTTTGTATATGTAACAGACACCTGAGATACCTCCAAAAATGCACATTCTCAGACTCTGGACTCCCTTACACAGCATTTGAAACAAGCATCCCAGGTGATTCATAGCTCTTTGCTATTGAAAAGGGCAGAGGCCTAAAATAGCTTTGAGAACATAAGTGATTAGCAAATATTTAAATTATTTCACTTTATGTGTCCCCTACATTATAAGATGGAATTTCCTTATTCAATTCCCAAGTTGCAGGTAACTTACTAGGTTCTAATGCTTGGAAAAATATATTTTTCTGAGAGAAAGTTCAGATAACTTAGACATGTAAAATTAACAGTTGTTGTCCATGAACATATTTAGTTATCACCCAAAGCCTCAATGTTCAGAAAATTTCAAATTATAGGACATAGTCAAATAAAAGCTCAATATTGATTCATTAGTTCATTCACTCAGCAATTATTTATTGAGTGTCTACTTTGTGGTATGCCCAGGGCTGGCTTCTGGGGATACTGTGGAGAACAGGACAGACAAGAGCTCTACCCAATAATGGATGATTGCAGAAAAAATAAAAAAATAAAGAAATAAAAAGAACTCCACCCTCATAAGCATAAATCCAGTTCTAGGGCAGCAGGGAGACAATTAACTGAGCAAAACATAAATTAGCTAAACCCGATGGTGTCCTGGGGAAAGCAGGTGCCGTTTCCAGCCTTTCTGACTTTTAATCCCAGCTTCATAACTTTCTAGTAGTCTCACTTTGGGGAAGATAGCCTCTATAAGCCTCAAAATTTCCATCTGTACAAGGGTACAATGCCTACCTTTCGGATTGTTGTGTGTATGCAAGTACTTAGTGTAATGCATGACAAATGAAGGCTTGATGCATGCGAATTATTAGTATCACCCCTCACTTACACCTGCCCTCAGTGACAATGCTGTCCTTTCCTACTTATGGAAACCTGGTAGGCTCTTCCACAGAGTGGTGGCCATGAAACCATGGCTGAACGTTTTCTAACTAATGGAGACTAATTGATGAATTCTTCTTGTCTGGGGTTCTCTTTGATAATATATCCAGCTAGATGCCGAAGAATTCAGCTCTTAGAAGAGATCATTGGGTCTTGGACCACTTTGTAAAGCCCAGATAGCATCTGCTGGGGGAACAGTCTTATTTTCTCTGCATAGTTTATAAGGATAGGAAAAAAGGGGTTAAAATAAGCTAAAAAGGCTCTGCCCTTGAGGATGTTCACAACAATCAGAGGCAGCGGGAAAGACGCAGGAGGAAGCTGGGGGTGGGATTCTCTGTGGATTTGGCTGTGAAAGTCATCAGGAGATCAGTGTTGTTGGCCCTGTCTTTGCAGGAGGCTGGAGCTGAGACCCACAGAGCAGAAGATCCCTTTGTTTGGAAGTTTGTTTTTAACGTTAAGACTCCACAATAGAGATAAACAAGCCTCACCAGGAAACTGGCAAAGGCTCCGGGTGTTGAAAACCATGTGGCAAAATCATTGGGAGACAGACCTTCCAACTTCTTTGAGGGGAAAGGGGAAAAGTTTTGGGGCCAGCTTCACCCATGGCCATGGCCTCGCCCCTCACGGGCTGCTGCTGGGCTGCCATTAGTGGGCTTTTCCTCTCCACAAAGAGCTCCCATCTTGTCTGACCCCCTGTCCCTAACTGGGGTCATCTCGCGCTCTCCTTGCTTTCTGCTCCCTGATTCTCATTGCTGTTAATGACTAAGGCAACTCTCAGCCCCTAACTTTTTTCTCCAGTTGCCTTTCTCTCATTCCAGTCCAGTTGCATCTCTGCTTCCTCCGCATTTTGCTCCTGTCACTTACAAATAAATGCTCACTTGAATATGTACAAAAAACTTTGAATGCAAAGTTTTTCTAGTCTATAAGATGTGGGAGTGGTGGAGAGGGGGCTTGTGGTTCCATAGTTTCTTCTTGCCTTCTTTAGACTATCTGAGTATCTCACCAAAGGTGACTACTTGTTTTTTTCAGTTTTGAGAAGTAATATGCAGTTGCTAGCAACATGAGACAGATCTATGTGTAATTATGGGGGAGGGTTTTCATAGCATGTGATTAAATAAGAAGAAAATTACAGAAAATATATACAGTATGTTTTTAAAGGTGATGTATATATGAGGGCAAATGCTGTTGAAGGATTAGACTAGATGATGCCTGCAGTTCCTTTCTCTCTAGTGTTCTTGGTTCTAAGCACAGAGCAGTTGAACCAAGTTTGAAGTTTGGCAGATCTGACCACCTTCTTAGTTGGTGTGGGGACCTTCGTTCCCCTGGGGACACCACCGGTTTGTGCTGAGCCCCAGGCCCTGAAGGCAGAGCGGACTTCCCACAGGGAATGGTGCTTTGCATGAAGCTCTCTGCGTTTCTTTCCCCTTTCCTCTCTGGCTCTCTGGGGGATCCCTCAAACCTAGGTGGAGTTGACAGGACTCAGACCTGTTTTTCTGGTTGAAATAGCTTTGTGACCGAGCCATGCTTTTCTTCTTGTTCCTCACATTGTTTTGTGGGGGAAATGTTAAGAAAACAAAATAAAACAAAAATCAAAGTGGCTCCCAACATCTTTGGGAAGTTTCTGGGGGGAATAAAGGAACTGGCTTTGAGATCAGAGTGCCGGGGGCTGCAGCATGGGCTGCAGGGGAGCTCCAGGCAGATGGCCCCACCATGGTGTTCTGCTGAGGCCTCACACTCACATCTGGCTGCAGCGCAAACCTCCTTCCTGATGGTGACTCTTCCAGCAGAAGGAAGGAGCTAGGGTGGAGCTAGATCTGGATAGGAATTTGGGAGATCTGAAAACTGGACTCAGTGCTACCACTCCCTTGGCTGACCTTCCTGGGCTGTTTTTAATTTTAATGGTAGAACCATCTATAAAAGATGTCAGGGAACATTCTATCCTACTGTTCCATTTTACAGATTAACTATTGAGGGGCTCACTGTGCTCCTGGGAGCTCCCTTGGCCATTGAAATCTTGTCCCTTGACAGGTTTTATGAATTACTCATTATTGACCCACTTTTTCTTTTCCGCCTTCACTTCTCCTGCTTGTAGTGCCCACCTTGAATAAAGGTTTCCCTTGAATAAAGCTGGTTATTTCTTCAAGATTCCTTTAAGTTCCATCTTCTTGACTCTGTCCTCAGAGTTCCTCTAGCACTGACTACCCAGGTCAAGCATTGAGAAGGCTCACTCTATCCCATGCCCCCACCCCATCCCCCTTTGGCTTCCTGAGCAGAGGAAATTTGCTGGCCTTCCGGTGAGTTTGTCCCTCTTGGGAACCTTGAACTCAGAGCAAACCAGGTATAGGAATCTAGGATAACAGCTGGAACCTCGTTATTCTCTAGATCTTACCTTAGTTGTCTCTGTTCTAGAAAGGCCTTCCTTTCCATGACCAGTCTAGCTAAAGCATCCTGAACAGATCTTTCATTAACTTGTGGAGTAAAAGCCTTTCAGACAACATGGGCTTATTCATTTCAGCTTGGAGTTCAGCTAATTAATTCCCATGCCCTCTTCTCCAATGTTTGGTCCTCTTTCTATTTACTTGGTTTTTTAAGACCCAAATTTTGTCTCTGTATATGGTCTTCCAATAAATCCTTTAGCATTTGCTGAGGATGCATGTCTCT